TAAATATCAATATAAAATTTTCACCCCGCGCATGCTATCATCTAGTTATCAAGTAAAGTAGAACACAACTCTAGAGACTCAATGCTCTGATGACCGTAAAATATGGGGGAATATTCCTTAATAGACGATCTATTATATATGCGTACGTATGTGAGATTTTATTCTAGATCAGAAGGATAGTGCCATTGAATATGCTTCTTGCATGTTATATATAATCACAATACAAACACTTAGTTTAGAGCTGAAAGATATATGGAGAAAGGTGCAAATGCATTACAGGGCAAGATCTCTTTTGGCAGGAATCTCTTACTCCATTCTTGCATATGCATATATGTTTGTGGTGAGCTCTCTGCCAAAGGAGATTTGCCCAGTAATTCTTCTGTGCCAATGTTTACCTAAATTTATTTTGCGTTAGTTACATTTCACATTTTTAGTAAACATGGATCTCTTGGAAGTATAGCTAGTCGAAGTAGACACAGGTAGTTCCTTGATCCATATCATGTTTTGTTATGTTTCAATTACTATCCATAATAAAAAAAGATGTATATATATCTATTCACGTGGCCATCAATAGATGCAAATTGATGCATGAAGGAAGGTATTGTATTCATGAAACGGGTAAGTGAAAACATTAGTTATGTACGTTATTAAAAAAATATATATTTACGAATCTTCTTTTCTTACATTTGTCTCATGCAGATAATCTCCAAGTCCTTAATTACCAATCTATGACACTAAGTTCGGCTTGCTACCTGCTTAGCAGTCGTGTAGGAGAGGACAACCAATGACTCCTGGAGGCTGGAGATTGCCGATCTCGATGTCAAGTCTTTTGAATAAGCTTTGATGACACTCTCGACGTCAATAGTCTAGACATGGCTGAGTGACCCCATATTTCTGAAGTTTTTTTCCATCAAATCCATCTAATTTTGCTAACTCATTGCTCTCTGTATTTCTTTACAAAATTCTCTGAGAGATTGATACCCTTCTTTGTGACATTTTATAACTACACATAATATGTAAAATCTTTTAGATGCAAATCAAAAGTCAAAAGTATTTAGATTCATTCATTAGAACAAGTACAAAATACAAATTGTTGACGTACAAAATATAAAGCCCACTAACAGCCTTGCGAAAAAAAAAGCTGGGCCTAATAATAAGGATTAACAAGTAAAGCTGACGTGGTAAGCAGCGATTGGCTGCACTATCGTGTTTTGCATCGCCTCGCCACGTTTCTGCATTGATCCAAAAAAGAAAAAAAAATTGAGAAAATTATAAGGTGGTGCGACCTTCGTCTCTCGTTGACCATCAAAGCTTACGAACGCTCTTTTCTCCGTGTGAAGGGGAAGAAAAATCATCGGAGCCGTCGGTTTCACGAAAGGTGGATCTCTCTCTCTTCATAGATCGAAGCCTTCTCTCTTTATTATAATCTCTGTTTCTTTCTCTTACTGAATGTTTTCTTTCTTCATCGTCATTTGTGAGTCTTTTCGCTTCAGATCTGTGTCATTATTGAATCTATAGATCTGTTTCGCTTGTTCTAGTTAATGAATTCGTGTATTGGTCTGAGGCGTTTTCGATAGATCTGTGTTTTAGATAAACTTTCCTTTAGTAAAGTTTCGATCTTTTTTCTTACCCACCACTCGTATTGATAATGGGTACCAAAATTTGATCAGATTCATTGCTTATAGCTCATGTTTGTTCTCATGGATGAAAAAAGTTTGAATTTTGCATGAAAAAGTTTATAACTTTATGGTAATGCATGTGGAAATGTTTGAATTTTGACATTAAAAGTTTGTAACTTTATGTCAAATGTGTGTGTGGAATTGTATAGTTTTTTCATAATTTTCTGAATCTGACTTTGAAAGTAATATCTGATTTTTGTACAGAAGTTAAATCAGCGTTAATACGATACTAGAATGGGAGGAGGGTTTAGAGTATTGCATTTGGTGAGGCCGTTCTTGGCTTTTCTACCTGAGGTTCAGAGTGCTGACAGGAAGGTGCCTTTCAGAGAGAAGGTTATCTACACTGTCATCTCTCTCTTCATCTTCCTTGTCTGCAGTCAGCTTCCTCTCTATGGAATCCACTCTACCACTGGTGCTGATCCTTTCTACTGGATGCGTGTAATCCTTGCCTCCAACCGTGGGACTGTTATGGAGCTTGGTATTACTCCTATTGTCACGTCTGGGCTTGTGATGCAGCTCTTGGCTGGTTCTAAGATTATTGAAGTTGATAACAATGTCCGTGAGGACCGTGCCCTCTTGTAAGTAATCTTGTTGTTGTGGACATAGAACAGCTGGATTTGGGTGAATTCTTATTCTGTATGTTGGATCTAATTTTGTAGGAATGGCGCTCAGAAGCTTCTTGGTATTCTGATTGCTATTGGTGAGGCTGTTGCTTACGTTCTTTCTGGAATGTATGGACCCGTTGGTCAGCTTGGTGTTGGAAACGCCATCCTCATCATCCTCCAGCTTTTCTTTGCCGGAATCATTGTTATCTGCCTTGACGAGCTTCTTCAGAAAGGATATGGTCTCGGATCAGGAATCTCCCTTTTCATTGCCACCAACATCTGGTAAGACGAGTCCTTCCTTGCTTTATAGAGCCCTTCCTTTCCTGTTATATCTATAATTCTTAATACATTTTTGAATCGTTGATACGCAGTGAGAGCATTATCTGGAAGGCATTTAGCCCTACCACCATCAACACTGGTCGTGGAGCTGAGTTTGAAGGTGCTGTTATCGCATTGTTCCATATGCTGATAACTAAGTCCAACAAGGTTGCAGCTCTCCGCCAAGCATTCTATCGGCAAAACCTTCCAAATGTTACCAACTTGCTTGCCACAGTCTTGATCTTCTTGATTGTGATCTACTTCCAAGGGTTCCGTGTGGTTTTACCTGTGAGATCAAAGAATGCCCGTGGGCAACAGGGTTCTTACCCAATCAAGCTGTTCTACACCTCTAACATGCCCATCATTCTCCAATCTGCTCTCGTCTCAAACCTTTACTTCATCTCTCAGGTACATACATTCTTTCAACTTCACTGTATGTACAGTGAATCATCTCCACAGCTAATATTGAATCTCATCTGTTATCAAACAGCTTCTCTACAGGAAGTTCAGTGGAAACTTCTTTGTAAACCTTTTGGGACAATGGAAAGAATCTGAGTACAGTGGGCAATCTATTCCAGTCAGTGGTCTGGCTTACCTCATCACAGCTCCAGCAAGGTAATGCAAAGTTTTAACCAATCAAAATTGTTATATGCACCAACCAGTTTGATGAATATATGTTACTATATGGTTGCAGCTTCTCTGACATGGCGGCTCACCCGTTCCATGCTCTTTTCTACATTGTCTTCATGCTCACTGCTTGTGCTCTATTCTCAAAGACATGGATTGAGGTCTCCGGATCTTCTGCTAGGGACGTAGCTAAGCAGCTTAAGGTAATAAAATCATAACAACTCGATATACACAGAACCTTGAATGGTGTGTTTGGTATTTGATATTGGAAACTTCATGTGTGACAGGAACAACAAATGGTGATGCCAGGGCACAGAGAGTCAAACTTACAGAAGGAGCTGAACAGGTATATCCCAACAGCAGCAGCCTTCGGAGGAGTTTGTATCGGTGCACTGACCGTACTGGCTGATTTCATGGGAGCCATTGGGTCTGGAACTGGTATTCTCTTGGCTGTCACCATCATATATCAGTATTTCGAGACCTTTGAGAAGGAGAAAGCAAGTGAACTCGGCTTCTTTGGGTTCTAAGTTTAGCCTTAAAATTGTAAAACTTTGCTTAGGCAAAAGCAGAGAAGGCACGCTAGCTAGCTTCGGTGCCAACCTCAAAGGGTTCTAACACAGTTTGGGGTAGTACCTTTCTTGTTGTTCAAACAACATTTTCACTTGTAGTTTTTTTGCTTTTTGATACAATTTTTGTTATATTCTTGCTTTTAAAAGTTAAAACCTTCCGGATAGACGCTTTTCTAATGTATGTTTCTAGAATTCCATGACCAAATAAACAATTTACATTTTTGAGTTCAAAGCATTATCTCTGAATCGATGCAGACAGACCTATATAGATTGTGGAAAAAGCAGTAGAAACTATTAGTTATGGTTTTGATAGCAATCAGATAATACGTGATGTCAACTATATATGCTAATGCATGATACTAGTTATGAATTATGACAGGTTTACAATGTTACATGCTTACACTTTTGACTTGATGAGCATTCATGGTCTCAACTCTTACATAGGATCTAACTAACCTCCTAATGTAAAGACAGAAAGTCTTACAACGAAAACTTGAACTTTGCCAAACGCGTTTTAAACCCATTCTTCTCATTAAGCTTTTTCTTCCTCTTAACAAATTTCTTGTCTGAAAATTTTGTTGACTTAGTGACTACACATACCACCATACATATATGTTTGGTCATTTGATTTGCCTTGAAAATTACATAAACAGAAAGCTATACAAGGTGGAGAACTGAGACAAGAGTTAAAAGGATAGAGGAACTATTGATTCTTTCTTTGGTTTTACTTGCATTAACCCAAATTAGAGTTTGCTTGTTCCCTAGGTTAACAGATGAAAAATACACGCACAGTTAGAAATGAAATGAAATAAGCAAACTTATAGCCAGACAAGCAGTTGAGTACTAATTGGTTTTGACACCAATCAGATAACAACACTTACTCGATTGTTTAAACTCTCAACTACCAACAAATACAGAGAATGGTCATTGTGATCCGTATGGTACACAACGTTACATGCTTACACTTTGACTTCCATCATTCAAGGTCTCCATACTCCATTGTAGAAAAGAAAACTGTCCAAACGAGTGTATTTTGATAAATTAAATATGCAGTTCAAAAACTAACTTAATACAAAGATGTTCGTCAGTAAAAAACTTTATAAATAGCTTCTCATAGATCATATAAAACCCTCTCTTATCACTTTCTTCAAATACACTGCTCTCTCTGTAACACAAAACCTACCCAAATCACATATCCTAACATGGCTACCAACTCAGCAATGTACGCATCCTCACGGCGGAGGCAATCACCATCACTGGAGGCGTTTCTATCACCAGTTGATCTCTCCAACGTCCCTCTCATTCAAACCCTATCTTCAATCTCATCAGAAATCGTCTCTTGCTTCAGAAACGTACGTTTCTCCTTCCAACAAAGAAACTCACGTTCCCTGATACGTAAACTCCAAGTCTTTACCGTCTTGTTCCAACACCTCGCAGAAGATTCAAGCTTGAGTCCCACGGAAACGTTGTGCTTCAAGGAGCTTTATCTTCTCCTCCATCACTCCAAGTTCCTCCTCCGCTACTGCTCTCACTCCTCTAAGCTATGGCTCTTGCTTCAAAGCCCTTCTCTTTCAAGCTTCTTCCATGACCTGAGTAAAGACTATTCCACCCTCTTAGATATCCTCCCCGTTGATAGTCTCTGCCTTAGCCACGACGTTAGAGAGCAAGTCAAGCTCTTGCACAAACACTCATCATCAAGACTCTTCGTTGATGATAGCGACGAGACGCTACGTAACAGACTCTACACGTTTCTCAACGAGTTTGAGAACGGGAGTGTACCAAACTCAGAAGAGCTAAGCTTCTTCTTCTTTGAGAAACTTGGGATTAAAGATCCTATAAGCTACAAAAGTGAGATAGAGTTTCTTGAAGAACAGATCAAGAGCCACGGTTGTGACTTGGAACCTACGAGATCAGTGATTAACGGTTTTATAGATATCACACGGTACGTCATGTTTCTCTTATTCAAGATTCAAGATGGTGACGAGTGGAGCGTTGACAACATCAAGAAACAGAGGACAAGTTTGATCTCTGAGGAGATTGAGAACACGTTTACAACGCTTCCACAGGATTTCACTTGCTCCATCTCTCTCAGTCTCATGAACGATCCTGTGATCGTTTCCACTGGGCAGACTTATGAACGTAGCTCTATCGCTAGGTGGATTCAAGAAGGAAACTCTACTTGTCCTAAAACAGGACAGAAGCTTGTAGACTTGTCTGTTGTTCCTAATCTAGCTTTGAGACAGTTGATAACACTTTGGTGTGAAGTTACTGGTTCATCTCATGACTCACCTAAAGAGTCTCTCCCTAAGGAGTTTCAAACAAGAGCTTCAACGGAAGCAAAGAGAGCTACTGTATCGATTCTTGTACAGAACCTAGCAGACGGGTCAGAGTTAGCTGCAAGAGAGATCCGTTTTCTATCTAGAACAGCAACGGAAACACGTAGGTTTATTGTGGAAGCAGGTGCAATCCCTCACTTGCGTAGGCTTCTCAAATCAGAAGATGCTCTTGCGCAAGAGAACGCAGTTACATCCATCTTTAACTTATCTCTGGACGAGGAAAACAAGAGTCTGATCATGGAAGAACACTCTTGTCTTGAGCCGATAATGAGCGTTCTCGTCTCTGGTCTTACATCGAAAGCCAAGGAGATGGCAGCAGGTACATTGTACACTCTTTCATTGGTACATGATTACAAGAAAACGATAGCAAACGCTGATGGCTGCATCGAGTCGCTTGCGTTGGTGCTGCAGAAAGGAACGGTGAGAGGGAAGAAAGATGCTGTCTACGCTTTACATAACTTATGGTTACATCCTGATAACTGCAGCTTGATGGTGAACCAGGGAGGAGTGTCTGCGCTCGTGGGAGCTTTGGGGGATGAAGCTGTGGCGGAGAAAGTTGCGGCAGTGTTGGGAGTAGTAGCAAATCTACAGTTAGGAGCAGAGAGTATAGGGAGAGAGGAGTCAGTTGTGAATGGGCTCATGGAAGTGATGAGATGTGGAACACCTAAAGGCAAAGAAAAAGCTATTGCGACATTGTTGCAACTCTGCACAACCGGTGGAGCTGTTGTGGTGGAGAAGGCTGTGAAAACACCGGCTCTTGCGGTCTTGACGCGTAAGCTTTTGCTCACGGGTACAGAGCGAGCCAAGAGGAAAGCCATTTCACTCTCTGAGGTCTGTAATGGGTGCGACCAAAACAAGCAGAGATAAACGGTCTGGTAATAGAGAAGGGAGTTATAGAACCGAATTTGTGATCTCTATACCCATCCATATATTTATATACAAAATAAGTGTTAAGAGGGACAGCAGAATAAGCCTTTTATACGCAGTGACCTTTATATGTATATCTTATTGTATGGTTATGAGCGTTTTGTTTACCCCATTAGAATTGAATCCATAAAAAGTCGAAAACTGTAAAAACAGAAAACAAAGATATTATACAAGGAGGAGCACAGAAGCAAAGACAACAGTCACGGGAACTTTTGTTTTGTTTTCTATTGATCAAGATTAGAGTTTTTGCTTGTTCCCTAAGTTAACAGAAGATGATAAATACACTCACAGAGACATGGTGGAGACCCGTCCTCTTCCCTCTCTCCCTACCCAACAACTCAAATAACCGATAACCTGTATAACCGGTTATCAGCTTTATAGTAGTACATAAAACCATGGGGTTTGAGCGGACAGAAACCGCTTAGTAAGAGTTTTGCCACAGGTGCTGCTGCGTTGTTTGCTTTGAGGGCTGGCCGCCTTGCGCGCCACCTTCCCTTGGGTTTCGCTGTTGGTGCTCCATCGACATGCCGGTTTGTGACTGATAGTAGTTTGGGTAACCGAGCGACCCATATTGCTGATGCGCCTGTTGCTGAGCTTGTCGAAGTTGCTGAGCTTGCTGTTGTGCTTGAAGGTTGTAGTACGCATTGCTCTGGACACTCGACATTGTTTGAGAACCAGGTCCATGAAGCCATACAGGCGAGTTTTCATTCTGAGATCAAACAATTAAGGTCATCAAAACAAAGACCTTTCCATGAAAGTGTAAAAATGAGAAAAATACCTGCTGTTGTTGTTGTTGTTGTTGCTGAAGTGACAATAGATGGCTGTTCTGTTTGTATTGTAGACTCATAATGTCTTCATAACTTAGTGTTGCACCAGTAGGGGATGCTTGTTGTTGTTGTTGTTGGTTAAGGGAGAAGTTTCCGGCTCCAACATTGCTTGAATTCCCAAACCCATATGCGGAGGAGATAGGGGCAGAAGTTGCTGACGGAGGCAAATTACTGGAGGATATGTTGTTTTTGTACTGTGGAAGCAAAGCCGCCGGTGACTGGTGGAATGAGCTATTACCAGAAAATGCTTGCTGGAAAGCCGATGGCATGTATGGGTAGCCTTGAGGCATCAAAGGGTAACTGATCATGTTGGCAAAGTGAGTTAGAGGCACAGTATGCTGAGAATATGGATGCATTGGAAGCTGTTGAGGTGCTTGAGGAAGAGCTGGCCCAGTAGCAACATTGGCACCGGGTAAGTTCTGCTGCTGGCTTGGCTGTGTTGTTTGAATACCACCACCATCTCTCTGCGTGTAAAAAAATATAACCAAACATTTGAACACGAAATACAATAGACGTTGCAACTTTCTATAGAAATAAAAAGATATGCTACTTGATTAAAAAGCGTTTCATTCTACAGGTAAGGGGATCACCTCTGGCATAGAAATGCTTTGGTCACTTAGTGAGTAATCTTTGCTTCTTGATGGCATAGACTGAGCCCCTGGGAAAGTTGAGTATTGAAGCTCAAGCTCCCTCGCAGTTTGTGCTGTTTGTGGCAATAGAGGGTTTGGAGTAGCATTTGAATACCCTTGCTGAAAACAATGATGTCAACAAAGAATTATAAGGATGATTGAAAAACAATATGAATAAACTATCTTTAGAACATATAAGGAGATTCTCTTAAAAGGTATAATCAAAAACCATAGGCACTTGGTTGCAATATATGTATCTTACCATCACATTTGACAATGAAGCAAGATTCTGCATCTGATTCTGCATGCATGTCTGTGAGGCATCAAATTCAGTATTCGTCTGCTGCTTGGCATTTTCATATGCATACTCTTGATCAGATTGAGCAAACGAATACTGGTTCTGCGGATGAGCAGTTCCGGGGTTCTCTGGCAACAAAGCTTCTTGCTGAGATTCTGAAGAATCATCATAATTTTCTGCATTTGACGCATGGACCATATTTCCATGGGACGTGCTTCCTAGTTGTTCATCTCCATAAAACTCGGTATTTCTGTGCAGAAGAAGATCAACTAATGGTGAGTACAAATAAAAAGAGACAAGAACTATTTGGAAAGGGAAAATCAGTAACAAGGGCATGCCTGGCATCAGCACGTTCAATCTGTGGAGCTACATCAGCTGCTTCTTCTAAGTTGTTGTTCAAAGGTCTTGATCCAAAGCTTCCAAAGCTTAACTGTGAGCACTCTTCTGAATAGACTAGCAGATGATCTGGAATTAAGACAGTAGGTTTATCCTCCTCATGAGAGGAGTATTTATCATGGTTCTCTATGCTTAATTCTTGAAGGTTGGCAGCAACAGACGAGACATTATCTTCATCTGCAAAAGATTATTGACACAAGGAATTAGACAACATCAGGAGCAAAAAAAAATCAAGTGTAGCATGCTGCAGATTAGCATAAAGCAAATACAGAAGATGCTTCATTAGTCTACTTGACGTTCAAATTAGAAACCAAAAGACTACACAAGCATTTTTCACTTCCCCCAGCCGCTAATATGATCAGGTTGCAGGACAAAAGGATTCATGTCACAGTATCAGTGAGGTGTGTGACATTTCATCAAACGAAAATTCAATCAAGCATCTCCCGAATTATGTGCCATCATGCACAACACATCGTTGTCAATAAAGCATACAGCAATTCTATTCTAAACATGTTGGACACAATTACAGAAAGTAAAATTCTTACCTTTCTGGTGCTCAACAGGATGGTCCTGTGTTTGGTGTCCGTATGGATGATCATCAAACTCAGATGACACTCCACATTCATCTTCTGGAACAACTCCACCAGCGACAGTGTCAGCCTGCACATGATCTCTTCCAATATTTCCAAAGGGACCATTTTCTGCTAAACGTGTATCTTCTAAGTGGCCCTTCAGTTGTTGATCTCCTCCACTGGACTGGAAATCTTCTGGACCATTACGTATCTCTGGCTCAGTTGGTGCCACCGGTACAGAAGAAGTGCTAGCAGCCATTGGCTTCTCAATCGAGGGCCATTGATCTTTTACAGCTACATGTTGACTTGCAGCACTTTCATGCTCAGAAACATTTTTCTGAGAGTTGGTTGACTTGTTATGAGGTATACCCCTCTTCACAATGTCAGCCATAGACATTTGACCTGCAGCTCCAAACCATGCAGGTTGCTGTACCGAAACAGGCTGTGATGATGGTATTCCACTACCCGAACTAACGTTTGGCGTTTTACTGTCCACAGCAGCAGAATCACTGCATAATATATACAATATACATGAGCAACATGCCACTCAAATGTAAAGATGAACAAAACTATAATTCCCGACTATGCAGAAGTGAAGTACTACACCAAGAAAAAAATGTAATATGGAAAAGTAAGGTCTTGACACCTTTCAACAGATGTAAATATAAAAAAAAATACCATGACCACTACTAACATAGTCATAGAAACTCTATACCCCAATACATTGACACTTTGACTATGTTATAAATTTCATTGTTTCTAGTAAATCAAACATAAATTGTACATGGAAGATAGCTTAGCATCAGCATAAAACTTTCAAACATAAAGAAAGAAAAGCAATCAAGACTCCTAAAGGAACAGTAACATATTCTGTTCGTTTAGCACTAAGCCATATCATCTAAATACTTCAAGCTTTTAGAGCTGAAAGCTCTGTTTTATCACTGTAGACACTTTTGTATTATGGTCACCAGACCACTCTAAAACATAACATACATTTTGTTGGTCAGAAAGCCAACGAACTAAATCCTACCAATTGAATCATTGCACTATAGGCTGCCCATCTACGGTCATTGCAACAGGGAGCTATTCATACAAGAAAGATGAAGTGAGAATTCAAAGGAGAACCTGTGTGATATCTGATGGTGGCTCGATGCTACTCCAGAACCTCCATATGTCTGCTTCTCGCTCTCTCTCTTGTTCGCAGTTTTTCCTTGGAAACTTCCCGACTCTGAACAGAAAGATACATGTGAATAAGGAAGGATTTATATCCAATCTAGTAGCCTAACGCAAAAAAAGGAAAAGTGATATATACCAGTAGAGTTGAAGGAGGAAGGTCCAGTTCGTCGAGGTCCAGAATAACGATCAGAACCACCTCTAGTCCCACGGTTGTAAGCGTTACTATAGCCTCGTGGCCGAGAATCCTGTATATCCCTAACCTGAAACAGTAAAAAAAATAAATTAAACACTCCAACATGAATAAAACCTAACTGAAACCAAAACAACATCTAGGATCAAGTATCATATGAGAAAAATTTATAAACACAGAGTTTGAAGGCACTGAAATTAATCATTAGAAAAAAACACATAAAGTGAGAGAGACTTATGTAAGCAATCTGAACATAGTTGGTCTTAAAGAGATGGCACAGAACAAAAGGATCTGACATAATTGATAGCACAGAACAACAACACACATAAGATCATTACCTCTTTCTTCTTATCCTTTTTGCTCTTAACCTCGTGAAAAGGATCTGACAAAATTCAAGAAACAAGAATCAGTATCATGAAAACATATCAGCTACCTCCAAAAGTAAGAACAGAGCTCTAAAGGATAAACAAAATGGCATCTTATAATCTCAACAAGAATGACAAAAAATGCTGAAAGGTGGAGACTTTTGAAAGTAATCTAAAACCCTAATCTAGAAAACCCTAGTTATCTCCGATTCAGCGGAAATCAAAAAAAAAAAGAAAAAAAAAGAGACCTTGGGAGAGGAGGCGATTGACGGCTTCATTAGGATCCATGTTACAGTCTTTGAGGACGGCGTAGATCTCAGGCTCAGGGCAGTTGACAATCTCTTTCAAGCTCTGTACCATCTTCCTCGACCCTGACGGGATATCTGATACCCCGTTATAGCTTTTCTTCCCTCCTCCGATTATCTTTACGCCTCCGCTCATCTTCTCTCTCCCTCTTTAGCTAACTCTCTCTCTGTCTCTGTTTGAATCAGATCTGAATAAAACAAAAGTTGCGAAGTAATGAAGAAGAGGAGAGAAGCAAGAAGCGAGTTTTATATCTGTCCAAAAGAAAAGGAAACCCTCTCTCTCTCTCTCCTCTATCATTCTTTTTTAATTTTTTACTTTTTAATTTATTTTTGGGTTGATAAACAATCATTAATTAGAGTTATCCACTCTTCTGTTCCAATTATCAAATCCAAATGTTATCCACTGTAGTAATGAAATCACTTAATAGTTTTTTTTTTCTCTCCCTCGTAATTTAGGATATTTCTTTTCTTTTTTTTTGGTGAAATGTTTAATTTATTGATCATCTCAAAACAATAGTATATATACAGCTATAATAAGTTTATAGAAACTTTGAAAATGAACTAGCCAAAGCCTGTAACATGTGTTTCAAACCATCTAATTTAGCATATTTATTTTCTTGTGTTGTCATAACAGAATAGCTAATTAATTAAAAAGATGATATATATTTTGAGGTTTTTTTACAAATTTGTTTTCGTTTAATTTTGTTTTGTATTAAAAATCTTAATATTGAATTCTATATATATATATATATATATATGAGAAAATCTATAAATCTATGAATATTGAATTCAATATTCTTCATTTGTTAAGTACCCAAAATCTTAATACATAAATCTGAGGAAATCTTTTAAATCTAAGAATGCTTTAATCTGGTCATATAAGTTTTTAGTAACAAATCAATTGCAGATTCTTTTGGGATGAATGGATTATTCAATATTTTTTACCATATTCAATATTTCAAATACTTTTTATATTATTTACTTTAATGTTACTTAGTCATTAATATTTGTCTAGAATGCACATTACTATATATATGCACAAATCTCATTGCTACAACAATAACATTTTTATTACTCTTAAAATTTGCATATCTCAGTGAGGTGGTCATGGAAACATAAAATAGTACTTGTGGATGTGAAAGTAAGAAGAACAAGGAACATGGGCCTCATCAGCAACTAAGCACACAATTTAACAAAGGCCCATTTTAAAAATGAAACGCCGCCGTTTTGTGCTCCTCTGTGAAACCCTAGACTTGAGTAGGTTTGTGTGACCTGAGTATATATAACGGCGAGACTTGTCTTTAAAATTAAACAACCTGCGTCGTCAGTTATATCTTCTCATAGTTCTGTTTCTATGTTCTTTTGCTATGTTAGTTTTTGTTTGTTCTTGATATTGGTGGTGGAAAGTGATGATATGTAATTGTCGCCCCAGTCTTATTTGCATTCGTTACGATGGATGCAACATGGTGATTGACTTTCAGTATCTGATTTCATCATTAGTCTTGTTGATTTAATAGTTTCAAAGTCTTAGCTATTGTTTTAGTATCATTGATTTGTGTAGAAGAAGAGGAGTGAGGATAAATATCCAACGTCTATTAAGGCAGAACTATAATGTTGAATCAAAGACATGCACTACCATCTGACCTCTTTTTTTTTATCAACATAAGTTTACATTGTTTTGTTTTGATTTCAATTGATGAATGTTTGGGGTGAATGAATGCCTTTGGTATCTGATGTCCAAACTTATAAAAAAGGTAGTTGGACATTTCGTAATTCAAGGCGTAGATTGAATTATTAAAACAGGTTTTGCGACACTGATTGCTTTATATCATTATAAGCTTTCTGTTACTGTACCCCTGTTTATATCTTCCCACGTACGTATCAATTTCGCGTTGTTCTGTTTTTCCTATGTGTTACTAAACATGGTGGGTCTTTTTGATATGGGTTGCCTCTCAAAATAATAAGAAAATATATTTTAGACCTTATTATAAGCTTTGTCTGCGGATGACAAGAAATTGATAGTTCCATGTTAACACATTCTTTTGTTTATGAGTCTGAATGGAAAAACTTGGTACAGTAGGCAAGACTGTTGTTGGTTTAAGGTAGCCTTGGTTTTCTCGGTATTCAGCTATGTTTGGTGGGGTTTGGTTTGGGAGTTAACCTGTCTACAAAACATGAAGAGTCTAAAAGACCAACAAAACCAGTACTACTACATTAACGTGAAGAAGGGAGCCTCGGGTTTTGCGATGGATTTATTGAATTGTTCAAGACCCATAAATCTTTGAAGATTGGCATAGTGTTCAAGCCAATCTATGAAGGAATCTGTCTGTAAAAGCTCTAGTTAATTAGGTTATTTCACATTATATCTGTCAAAGTGGAAGGCTGAAATGTATATCAGTATATCACAATGTATCTAAATCTACAGAATGATAATCTATCCAAATTTCATTCTACAGAATGATAATAATGTATCCAAAATGTCTCTGGTAATGATGCTTCGTGTGACGTTCTGTACAATTCGTACAGGCTGAACGCTTTTTTACTATTATACTTTCATGGGTGTCTCGATCATCTTCCATCTTGGCATGAGCGTTGAGTTCTTTTGGCAACTCTTAATCCAGGACGGATCAAAAAGTCCATTGCTATGCTGTTGATACTTTGAAGTTTCCACTACTATTCAGCTTTGGTCGCTTGTGTTTTGGTTTGCAGAGAAGTCAAAGATCTTCACCAAAGTCTTTGAACTTTTGTTTTCGGAAATGCATGTGCTGTCTTGTGTCTTCTTATAATCATTTTGTTTGCGTTTCTTTGGCTGAACATGCTGTCATATCTTGTGCTCTTATCATAAATCATACAATTCTATCAGTTGACTTATGACTCATCTTGATCAACGGTTCTCTTCTACATACTTATTTTTGAGCTAGTATGACACATAAACCGTGGAGAATCTGCAAAACATGTTTATATTCGCCATGTTATCATCAGGAAGAAGGCTCGAGCCAATTCTTGAGAATGTTAATTACTCCATGAATCCTCGATCCAAGGACTCGGCTTGATGCTGTTTCTTCGAGAGTGCTCCAACGAGAATAGGCAACTTTGCAAGCTTAATGTTAACATTTATCTCTTCTTTTTCTTTTTTTTTTTTACATTTACAGTTATCTGTTACTTCCAAGACTAAAGGATCTGTAAACTAAAACAAAATGGATGGGATGTTGACAAATATTATTCCAACAGTGATAATAATTTTAAAGAAGGGAAAAATGAGTAGATTGTTACAATATTTTCTGCAAACATAACCGTCATGACCTCTAGAGAAACAACAATAAGGAGAACAAAGACAGCATGGGATAACATCATAAGATTTCAATCCTATTGTATGGGATCAGAGTAATGATTTACAAGGACAATTCAAGGCATGAAATTTTTGGATTTATGAAAGACGAACAAGTACGAAAGTTGGGGACTCCAAGATAATCAGATACCGTCATAGTCTCAACAACACGAGGAGAACAAAGACAGCAAATAACACACGTTCTTTGAAAGACAAAAAAACAGACTTTGTGTTAAGAAAACAAATTATTAAGGCTTCACACATTGAATATCTGATGGACGGCCACAAAATTTGAATACCTTTCCGAGTGCTTCGGAAATGTTACCAATGCTGTGATCCATCTGAAACGCAGAACAAAGACAAGTTGTTGCTTCTGTGGTGCCGATTTGGTCAATTCCGATGCAACAGAAGGAAGATTTTGGTGAACCTACAGGACGGCCCGACACCAGTCCATCCAACTCTTTTCTACATGCGGAAAACAGAGGAAAGATGTTAATAGAACAAGCAGCATTAGCAGTTGTGAAGAGGACTATGTTGAATAGGAGTATAATAGCAATGGTTTTAGAAGCCATCTTCTTGAAGAGTAAAAAGAGATAAATTTTGGTATTGAGATTTTTATTAATCTGTTTGTTTTCTGAGATTTAACAACTTTGAAAAAGGTCTATATAGACATCACTGCAAGGTTCGTATTTGCGGGGTTGTTTAACGTTGACTATTATAAATATACTTAAGATACAGCTCTGGCCATGTATTAATACGCTTTGCTATTCATAATGGTGCATTTTATAACATATCTTAAATTTCTAAGAGTAACTCATTATATTATTTATTCTACATGAAAATAAGATAGTTGAAATCACATGCGTAACAAATGATATACTAATAGTATTATATATATTCCAGCAAATCAAGAACGTTGTAATCACATGCCTAACAAAATTTTCATTATTTTATGGATGATTGATACATCTCTTTGTTATATGTATTACATATTTTAATATACCACACGAGACACGACGGTAGCCAAACAAGACTACAGGTAATAGTATATTATTTTCATCAATCCATCTATTAAATAAAGACAAGAACATTGCAACATTTCAAAGATTATGAGTCGTCAAAAGAATGTTTATTGAGATGTTTTAGAAAAATAAATTGGTCTATATAAATATAAACTATAATTTTCATTAAACTAATAATAAAATTTCCTATTATTCTAATTTTTTTTTTATCTTTTTCACACAATTACATTAATTCTATAATAAAAAAATATTTTTTTATTATATGTTATATTTTGAATTTTTTTAAAATGAGTATAAACTACTAAACTGTTAAAAATCACACATAAAATTTTATGATCAATGGTTTAAATTCTTTTATTATAGTAAAATACAAATGATTATAAAATCACATGAGTAAAAAGTCTTAGTTAACAAAATGTTTAATATATATATATATTGTATATCATTTAAGTTAAACTATACACTATATAAAATATATAATTATATTTTGATATTTGCATTGAACAAATATTAAGAACTTAATATTTTCACTTAAAAATTACATTGAATTTTTAAAACGATTATAAATTACTAAAAAAAGTATTAAACATCCGACATTAAGAAATTGATCAGTAGTTTAAAATTTTGTTACGAAAAGATGCTGATAATCATAAACTCATATGATTAGGAACTTCTTTTAATAAATAGCCGTGTTTTCTATTACTTCTTAATAGCATTGATCATCTGAACTCGATATGAAGATATTATCATGTTAGGCCTGTTCGTTTTAGAAACGCAATAACTGGAGTCTGCGGCAATAAATATAGCTACCACGGTAGTAGTTTTACAAATTCCGTACGGCTGCGTCAGTCCCCACGGATCAATTAGTGACAGGAAACCAAAGTTGCCGCTGCCGCTGTTATTTCTAGCGTCGCATCTGCTAGTTATTACTTGCCGTAGCGACAGAAAAAGAGAATCTTTTTTGACGCGAGTCATGTATTTGCCGTGATTGTAGCTGTTATTATAAATATCTGCGGCTGTGCTGGCGTTTATTAAACGAACAGGCCTGTTCTCTTCTACAAACTGGTTAATTTAGTAGTAGTAGGATACATAAAAATCATTGAGAATGTGCAAGAGAGAGGTGCAGATGTTGATAATTCTATACTCCATGTTCTAAGTTATTGGTTGCACGCTTACCTTCTATGTTCAGCTCTACGTCGCCTTCTACAGCATAACCTGTTCTTACTTCATCGCAATTTAGGCCTTGTCCTTCTACCATTTTGCATTTCTTTTTGCTCATGTGAAACAGTTTGGCAATCTCTCTCTCATCATTATCTTCCTTTCTCTTAGCACTACTTCGTTTCGTGTAGTCCAAGTTTTCTTTTTGTCAACTCTTGCGAAAACGGTTAGAAAAATATATTTTAATTTTTGGAAAATGATTCCAATATAGATGAGAATTAAAAACAGCAGGTCCTAATTGCAAATTTCGAGAAAAATAGAGGATCTCTCGAAAAACCCTAAAGAATGTAGTTCTGTTGGTGACTTTTCTGTCTATACTGTACTTAGCAACTGAAAAGTTGCCTATCTTTGTGTTTGGTAATTAAAGTGGTGTGATGGAGATCGATTTGGGAGCCAACGCGTTCGGTCTCGACTTTCATCCATCGAAGAATCTTGTAGCTACTGGTCTCATCAATGGCCACTTGCATCTGTAAACTCCAAAGCTCTTCTCTTTTCATTCCCATGTTCCACAAAAAAATAAAAAACACCAACCATATAAACCTCGTACTCTGTTTCTTGTTACTGTTGCAGATACCGTTACGACACAGAGTCTTCACTTGTCAGGTTATAAAAACCAATATTTGTATCTTCAAAGTTTGTTTCTTTTTGTAGTGGGTCTTGTAAAGATAGCTGATTTTTTTTTGTGTTAGGGAGCGTAAAGTTCGTGCTCATAAGGAGTCTTGCAGAGCTGTTCGGTTCATTGATGATGGCCAAAGTTTGTTCCTTTACCTTTTACAACACAACTTTAAAGCTCATGTCTGAACAATTTTAGTTACATTGTATGTCTTTATGGGTTATAGGAATCGTTACAGCTTCAGCTGATTGCTCTATTCTAGCTACTGATGTGGAGACTGGTGCTAGTGTTGCACATCTTGAGAATGCTCACGAGTAATTCTATTTCCCCTTTTTCTTTAAATTTGATACACTTTCTATCTAATAGTGTTTTTAGTGACTGAGAGAAGATTTCGCATTTGGTGTTCTAGGGATGCTGTTAATACTTTGATAACTGTTACTGAGACAACAATCGCTTCAGGGGATGATAAAGGCTGTGTTAAGGTCTGTTCAAAGACCTCTCTTTCGTCTTTAATCATTAATTAGAATTTATAAAGCAACTATATTTCAACTTACAGATTTGTATAAGTGGTATAATGTATGTTCACATCTGCTCAGATTTGGGATACGAGACAGCGCTCTTGCTCTCACGAGTTTAATGTACACGAGGATTACATTTCTGCCATGACCTTTGCATCTGATTCAATGAAGCTAGTCGCTACAAGGTTTGGATTCTTTTTTTTTTTGGTGGTTATCTGATTCAGTGAAGCTATTGCCTTTTGATCGTTCACTTATCTATTCTATTGTTGGTTGCTTTTTGATTCTGTTTAGTGGAGATGGGACTCTATCTGTATGTAATCTCAGAACAGGCAAAGTCCAATCTCAGTCTGAGTTTTCTGAAGACGAACTTCTTTCTGTTGTTATAATGAAGGTAAAGATTCTGCAATCTCAAGCTCTTCTGTCTCCACATAGTTAGCTACTTATCTAATGTGTATTATTAATTTCAGAATGGCCGTAAAGTTATCTGTGGAACTCAAAATGGTATTCTCATGCTGTATTCATGGGGATTTTTCAAAGATTGTAGGTATAGCCATATATCTTTAACACTGAATATGCTAATGGCTTTAGGCATTATTGGAGTTATCATGTATTGACTTAACTATCTGAAACCTTTTTTTTCTTTTTACTATTTGCAGTGATCGGTTTGTTGATCTTTCTCCAAACTCTGTTGATGTCTTATTAAAGGTGAGATGAAATTTGTTTTTCTATAACCATGTTGTTGTTACAAACATTAGTGGACTATTGACTATAATGGATTAATGTTTTAGCTTGATGAGGAGAGAGTTATCACTGGATGTGATAATGGAATAATTAGGTAACAAAAAAGAGAAACTCTTCTTCTTCCATTGAGAAGGTTTATGTTCACTAAATTTAGAGTTTATTTGCATTGTTTTCTACAGCCTCGTTGGAATACTGCCCAACAGAATCATACAGCCAATTGGGTCTCACGAGTTCCCTATCGAAGACCTCGGTATGTTAACACTTCTCTGTTTTTTTTAAAACAACAGTTTTGTCTAGAATGAGTTTTTAACTTTTTTCGTGTGGAATCTCTCTTGTAGCTCTCTCGTATGATAACAAGTTTCTTGGTAGCACAGCTCATGACAGTATGCTCAAGGTATTTATCATCTCTTCTCTCTAAAAGCAAAAACTCTTTGTAGTAAAGAGTTACACAAGTAGATCCCTGATTTAGTTTTTGTGTTCCCAATGAAGTTGTGGGACCTAGAAGAGATTATAGAAGGTTCTAATGGAAACGCACCGGGAGCTGCAGAAGACAGTGACAGCGACAACGAGGAGATGGATCTTGACAATGATCCCAATCCTTCAAGAGGTTACTTTCTGGAACATTTAGTAACATTATTTTTCTTGATATATAACCTTTGAAACATATCATCTCTGAGTTATTGTTTTGCTTGTACAGGTACCAAGAGGAAAACAAAAAGTAAATCAACTCCGGTGGACACTAAAACTAGTTTCTTCGCAGACATGTAGAATCCGTTTGGAAAATGTATCAATATCATACTCGTCTTTTTGATTCTGACAGTTTTGTTAAGCTACATTAATATATTTTCAAAAGTTTTACCACTACGACTTTTTGTTCATCACTACATGCCTAAAGTGGAACATTCCTAAACCGTATACAGTATTTAACATATAAGCATCCTTTTGGGAGCAAACGACATGTCTCTTCCGAGAAAGTAACCCCCAACTCCACACCCGAGGCTCAAACATAACACGGGTTCCGTTCATTTGAAACCCATTCCTTGGACTTTAAGAGGCCATAAGTTTGGGCCCATCAAGTGGTAATTGTTTTGGTTTGGATTGTTCTTGTTAAACAGTAGAAAATCCCTATATTTGGTTTTTCTAAATGGCTAGACACTTTAGTTTAGTTTTGTTTTTGTTTTCTTACTTAGTCAACTGACTATAAATATTGGTTGAACTTGTTTGTTTAGACAAATCAATACGAGAATAATTAATGGATCCCAAAGACTTAAAAGAATACTTTACTACAATTTTCTTTTCATATTTTCCGTTCACAATACATCGATGTCTATACATACAAAAGATAACAAAATAACTATCCATTACTATCACACGTCATTAATGGAAAGACAAATCTATTAACTTATGAACAATTATAATATTTTCTTACTGCAAACAATTCGTTTACTTTGGTTAACCAATTGACTTTCATCAATAATAAACAGTTTAATCATTTAAATATAACAAAAAAAATTATATGTATTCATATTGAACAACAAAATCTACACATTTTAGTTCATCTAAATGGTATGATAGTTTAGCTTTGCTTACTTGGTGGATATGCTATAAATAAAAGTTCAACTTAGTTTTTTTCCTTTTGATTTGATTTAGTTTTATTTTGTTTTGTTTAGTACTACCTTGTTTCGAATGGATGTTTTATGTTATAAATTATAGATCATAGATGCTGATGACCATTAAATTGATGTTGACTATGTTTGATTTGAATCATCTATGCTTAAGTAATCGTAATCTATTATCCTTAATTTTTTCTGTGGATCTGAGAGATCGGATGTTGATTATGTTTATTTGAATTGTCAAGCACAATGCTTGAGTAATCGCATTAAAGAAACACCCCTCCTCTTCGTTGACACTTTAAGATTTATAATCATATTTTTATTATTTATCAAAATACATAAACTGGATTACTAGTTTGGTTCGAGACCAAATTGTATCAATAGCTAATGAATTCAGTTGAACAGTTGTTGCACATATTTTCGTTAGGTTTTGATTGGTTTAGACGCAACTTGTTTAGTTAAAAATTTAAATTATTTTTGACTTTTCTCTGCAGCTGGTTTATTTTAAAAAAAAATTGAACTTTTTTGATGCTTTCTCTGCATCACTCCTCATCATCATCTTGACAAATTCAAAACAAACATATTATTGGAATGTTGTTCATGATTATGTATCTCTGATATTCAAATTACTTCAAATCAAAAATACAAACAGATGATTAAGGCTATCGATTACATTATGATAATCATCATCGATTACATAGAGGATTTATAATCAATTACATAGAATAGAAACATCAATTTTTTTTTTTACAATTCAAACCGTTATATATATTGTTTTTTTTAGGTTTGCCATATCATACTCAGCATAGTTTAGATCATTTTAACTTACAATTTGGTGGATTTACAACGAAACCCAATTTTGTTACCTTTTACATAAGTCTATTCAAGTGATAATGTATGTGTTCACATTAAAAAATTATAATGCATAAGTTAAATTGGATAAATTTATTCTTAAATAAATTACTCTTCAAACTTATGCTTAAGTTTATGCTTATGATCATGATTCAGGTTCCATGTACAATTTGTTGTTAAATAGTGTGAAATTTAAAAAATTTAAAGAACACAATGCAATTGTTTATCTTAAATTCAGTGTAAATTACATCCCAAGAGAAGATCCAATAAGAAGACTTGAAATAGAAACTTTCACTCTTCACTCAAAGATATTATCCCTCATACGGTATAGTCATACCTCTCAGATTGCAATCATTGGCAATGTGCAATATGTCTCGACCCTTTGGTTATTGCTTCTATTAGATTTGCAAGAATGTATTGCTTACGCTAAGTTTGTGCATCATGAAATTTTGAACGAGATTATGGTCCATCTTACTTGTACTCTTACTTAAAGGAGAGAATCAACTTTAGCAGATGTGAGATTTTGTTGTTGATTTGTATTCATTTGGTTTATATAATTAAGTTCTAGAAAATTCTTTGTAAATTATATATGTATATCTCTTATTTAAATAAAAAAACTTCTTATTATTACATAAAGGACAATATATATTACACAAGAAAAACAGAACTATGTTCACATCTCATCATGAATCCAAAACTCCTTGACATGAATAGAAAATCATTTTTATTCTTGTTTGTATATGTTTCAAAACACTCATATTATTATTAAGAAAAGACATTAATGGTTGAATGTACATAAAATAATCTACGGACCATGTAGCTTTAGATGTCCACTGTTTGCTGAATGATTTCCTCCTCATGTTCTTCATCATCACAACAAACATATCTATGAGTCAAATTATTAGGAATAAATATACACAATGCATGGACTACACTGTATGAATCACAATGGCTTGATGCATGGATAAGACTGGGACAAATACTAAATGAATCTAATCCTTGAAACTGTAGGTAACGCAAGCAAGGTTTCAGAGACTAGATGTAGTTCCATGAACCCTCTTACTTAGCATACTTGGATGTTAGGATGCTAGGAAACTTTTCAGTGATGGACATTTTTTATAATAAAAGAACAACTGAAGCTTCCAAGATTCTTTTAAACTCAAACATACCTGTATTATCTTTCTGACCCTGCCATCACATCAAACAAACCGCAGCAACTCAACCAGGAGGTTCGAGTAACTGGTGGACCAGAAGGGAGAAGACTCTGCATATATATATGTCCAGAAGATAAAATGAGCTCAAATACAGAATTAAAGAAAGAAAGAAAACGAGATGGTACCTTGTCTTCAGAAGATCCTGGCTTACTTGTTTCTGCCGCAGATCCTGGAATATTACCTTCCTTTGCTTCTTCTAGTTGGACAGAACCCAAATCTGTCGAGATTTCAGCTGGTCCATTGTTGTTAGTAATCACAACCTTTGAGACAGAATCATCAGCAGGTGCAATTTCCAAAGTACCACCAGCCTCTTTAGTAGTATTGTGAGTAACATTTTCAGAAGAGGAATATGGTGGTTTGTGCACACCATTCTTCTCCTCGTGACATGTTCCACTTCCAACGTCTTCACCTTTAGCTTCTTGTCCTTGAGGAACATCTGTTTGGTCTTTAACAATGTCCTTCTTCAGACCAGATAACGGAGAAGGAGATGGATCTCTTGTCCAAACTTCTCCATTTCCTTGAGAGCCAGGGGAGCTCAAATTGCCATCACTTTCTCCCTCATCTTGGCTTCCATGTTCATCATTACCTGAGATGTTCAATAAACTTAAGGATCCAAAAAACTAATGAAAGACCAAACATGAGTTTCATGTATCCAGAAACAACACACAACACCAAACATAATAAAAGTTGTGTTTGTGTTGTTTGAGCCATGGATATGAGTTCTTCTTCACTAAAGTAAAGTTAAAAGTTTGGAGCAAAAAAAGCAAACAGAGATTGTCTAAAAGCTACGTATACCCCACTAGATCCCAAAAAGAGATTCTTAAATAGATTAGGACCAAAGTATCATGTACTTCAACAACAACTGTATAATACCAAAAGTTTCAGAGTCAAATCAATAAGACAAAAGAAGAAACTTACCTAACACAAGAAACCCATTAGAAAGAGAATATACATAAAATCTTTAAACAAAAACTAATAAAAGTCATCCAGCAACTAGAGAGATACCAGAAATATTATGGTCTTTGCAATAATATATAAATGAAGAAGAAGAAGAAGAAAGTACCATGACCATTGAAGCCTTTGTTGCTTGGACTGACTCCAAAGGCTTCCTGCTCCTTCTTTTTCTTCAAGGCTTTTCTCTTCTTGGCACCAGAAGGCATGATCAATGAATTATCAACGAGCAGCAGATGGAAGAAAAAAATCGAAGGAGATGTTCGGTGTTGGTTCGTTCACTCCAAAGGTTCTCGAGCTCTCCTTCAACTTGTGGGGTATGCTTTGCTTTGTTTGTTTGTGGTGTGTGGACTTGAGTTGTGTTGCTCAGCTTTTTTTTTTTTGTCTATGCGTTAAGGGAAATAGAAATACAAAGGTCACGGTAACAGTCTAAAGATAAGGCGTCGTAGTCTTTATTTTATTTATGAGATTTATTAAAGGGGAATTAGACCAAGTAACCATTAGAAACAAAAAAAAAAGAAAATAACCATAGCAAGGCTTTAGTTATGATATGATTGATTTTTTTCTCTTTATTCCCCATTTTATCCTCAGCGTGCGCGTGGAAACAAATTGTAGCTTTCATTTTCTAAACTGTTGTTGTAATACATTATATTGGGTTACAAACTGGAAAAAAACAAGAGAGATTGAGGAGGTGTCAAAACTTTGGTG